GAAATTAAGGCACGAAAGAAAGTTAAACAAACTCACCCCACAACAAACTGGAAATTCAGAAGGCCCTTGCTGAAGATTCCACTGTATATGAATGTTCAGTATTTATGATGGGGCGCAGAAAAATGGAGGAAGGAAATCTCAAATTGCTTTTGGGAAAACATTGAAAGCCCAAGTACAGTATTTTCACTAAAAGCAGTTAAGATCTGGAGAAAAGAATGGAAAAGAAAATAGTGAGAAGGAGAAATAGAAAAAGTAAAATTTGATGGAAAAAATGCATTTGTCATATCTGCTTATAAAAAAAACAAGTGCAGGAAAAAGCTGGAGAGGAAGAAAGAAAAGAGGGCTGCCCACTCCAGCACGTTGCGGGTAACTGGGCAGAGAGAGTGCAGTGGGCTTTGTGGGGCTTCAGAAGCGCTCGTTAAATCAAGGGCTGGTGAAGAGGAGGTTTCCAAAGGCAGCTGTGTGAAGCCAGTTCTGTGACAAAGGAAGAGAAATCCAGGGGTTACGGAGAGGAAGGAAGTTCAGAGAGCAGAAAAGCCCAGGAGAAACGAGGGCTGGTGACCCTGGTGAAATAGAAGAAAATAAAGTGAACCCAGGAAGGGAAAATGCAGGGGAATTTCTGGAGAGACAATGAAATGATCTCGAGAGGTGCGAAGGAGGAAGAGAGCAGCACGGAAAGGAAGGAAGGGAGGGAGGGAGGACGCACAAATAACGAGGTACACAGGGCACACAGAGATGGGAGGAACAAGAAGGGTTCCATCTTCAGGGAGAAATCAACACAGCGGCAGGCAGCTCGAACTCCAGGCCAAGGACCAGTGCCTGGATCAGAAGGAGCCAGCAAGATGAGGAACGTGGGGGAGGACAAAGAGAGAAGCCCGGAGAGACTCCGAAGCAGCACCGGGAGCAGAAGAGACTCCATCCAGGAAAGGCGTGCACAGGGCCAAGGGGAGAGGCCAGGCGCCGAGGAGGAGTGGAGAGGACTTGGAGAGGGGCCACGGGGACCCTGTGACGTCGGCGGGGACGCTCCGCCAGGTGAAGGCTGTGGGCTGGTTAGGAAGGGGAGGGGGAACTCCTCCTACGCTTGCTTCTGGGGGCCTAAAGAAATGTGCTGACAGTGGTTGTATTCGTAAATATATTTCAAAATTCATTTTTTAAGTTTCAATCAAAAGTCAGTCCTTTTATCGAGAATGTTTGTCCAGAAATATATACATATACATTCTGTATATATACACACACATAAACATATCTATATATAATATTTCCTTATCAAATACACCTTCTTGGTTGTATTCAAGAACCATAAGCAACCTGGGCATGGTAATCCCAGGACTTGGGAGGCTGAGGCAGGAGGATCCCATGAGTTCAAGGCCAGCCTGAACTATGGTACATAACGAGACCCTGTCTCAAAAAACAAACAAACAGGCCCGGGATTTGGCACAGTGGCACTGTGCCTGCCTCGAAAGCGCAAGGCCATGACTTCAATCCCTGGTACCGAGAAAAAACAAACAAACCAACGAACCAACAAGAACATGTGTGCTAAATCCATGTAGGTACTTAATGAGGAAAACCAGCTCCACTACAACCATTAAAAAGTAAACAGCTCTGCTAATAATGTTGCTTTTGTTGCAGTAGCTGTTTTGTTTTATAAATGTACTTCAGATAAATATATGTAATACTTTGAAAAATAGAAAAAATTGTTATGCTTTATGCTCTGAAATCTGTGTAAAATATAAAGTGTCAACCATGCATCTTGTCTAAATAACTTTTCAGCACACAACATATACTTGGCTTAGATGAAAGTAAAAACAGTAAGATGCCTGCACTTTTAATCCATGCTTTTATCTTAAAAATAATTTCACTTACTTATGTCACAATTCCTCTTCTTGTTGTGTTATTTAGTAAAATTCATTTTAATTTGTAAAAAATAAAAGTCAAGCTTCAAACGTGATTGTACCTTACAAATAAATATCCCTTGAAAACCCCTGGAACCTCGGTTCTAGGAGTTCTGGGAGTACTGGGGCTTCACATCAGAAGAAGCTCAGTCCTGCACCCCGACAGTGAGCGGATGCGCAGTGTGGATGCCTCAGCCTCGGGGCACCTCCACCTCAGCCCCTGCCAGCAGCAGCCTCTCTTCTGCTCTTCTAGGAACAAGGGAACCCAGGAGGGCTGCAGCGGGGCTCAGGGCTACCTGGTGGATTCCAGGGAGCATCTAGAAGCCAGAGGCTTGGGCTGAAGCATCCCTGAGCCCACAGGGGACAGATGTGGGGCTCAAAGGTCAGGGCCGGAGCACCTCTTGTCTGAGAGCTGCACTGCTACAGTGGACCCTTGACTTATGAACTCAATTTGTTCATGAGGGCTGGCTGTAACTCGAGTTGGTCAATGAAGGCTCAGGCTCCTCTACACAGCCTTCAAAGTCTCTCTCCTGTACACAGGTAGATCTCTTTAAGGGTCAAATCTGTATCTGAAATTTAGTAAAATACTTTTTCTGCAACTAGTGACAAGATCATATGGCTTTTTCCTTTCCTCTGTTAAAATGATGACTTTTGGGGGTGGATCTTCCAATGCTGAACCAACACTGCCATCCCTATA